TATATATATATGGGGTCAGGTTCAAATGTTAACCAAAGTTTTTGTGTTAACTTTGTTAACCGATCTTGGCCATTCAATCTTTCAATAAACGGTTGTGATTAATCATCATAAAAACTTATTTTTTTAATTTAAAATTTCATAAAGATAAGTAAACAAAGTTGAAAAAGGTATTTAGGTAAAAAAAATTATGTAACTCCCATATCATTAATTAATTGGGAGTTACAATATAAAAAATTCTATGATTTTTTTGTTAATTTATTTTTGTTAATGTAAGAACCATATGAACACAACTATATATATATGAACCATTGTGTCAAATGCGAACAAAAATTTGACATATATATGAACTTGGACTGCATAGCATTTATGAACAAAATATGAACATAATAAGAAAAACTGTTATACGAAAGGAAATAAATAAATAAAAACAGGTATGAACACGATATGAACARCTTGTGAACAATAGTTCCTTCATTATAAACACATTCAGGAGCGATTCTTTGTCAATTGGAGTTTTATACATGCATTGCATTCACACCGTTTAAGGTTCATCCCTTGTTCATATATGTTTCTGATCTTATATGGTTGTTCACCCCTTGTTCATATATGTTTCTGATCTTATATGGTTGTTCACCCCTTGTTCATATCGTGTTCACCCCTTGTTCATATCGTATAAAATATATGAACACATAACCCCAACGCTATGAACACCGGGTGCAAACACTTACACAAATATAAAGATTTGGTATCAAGCTTAAAAAATAACACTTGTGTTCATATGATAGACGTAACATGAACACAATGGTTCATGATTCAAAAAAGTCGGTAATATGACAATATGAAAATGGGTCGTGCATGTACTTCCATTTGAACATGTGATTTAGGTACGTATTTTAGTAATTAAAAAAAACTATCAATACAAGATGAATTATAAAAAAACACAACACATTGTAATAAACATAATTTCGATTAAAACGAATCTAAAAAAATAAAAATCTATTACCAAGACATTCGATTTGGTTAATTTTTTCAATTTCCGACCTCGAACTCCGATTGCCATCATAAACCATTTTAATCTTCTCACTGTTGTCGATTTATATTCCATTGCGTTTATCCATATTAGCTTGATTGATACCAAAAAAAATTACTATCGTGTTTTCTATGCGAATTAAAAACTGATAAAACAATAAACATGGAAAATCAAGATTAAAAAAAATAAAAATATTAATATTATAAATGCATATTTTTTAGGATTTGATGAGTTGTAGCTCCCCATTAATTGTTTGGGAGTTACATATCAAATCAATTTACTG